AATTAGCCGGGCATGGTAGTACATGCCTGTAATTGCAGTTACTTGGGAAGCTAAGGCAGGAGAATCACTTGAACCTGGGAGGCAGAGGTTGTGGTGAGCCAAGATCACGCCATTGTACTCCAGCCTGGGCAAGAAAAGCCAAACTCCAACTTAAAAAAAAAAAAAACCCCTACTTATATTTCTAATATAAATCATTCTAAAATCTCATATTCAAGTGGAACACTTCCCAAAATAACTTTTAGATTACCTAAAAATCAGTGACGTGCTACAGATGGCTGGGAATAAAGCAAGGCACTCTCAGGACTTTTTAATGATACAAAACAAACAACAGCTCTGCCTACCAAACTTTTCTACTCTAGACCAATAGACTTTTTTTTTTTTTTAAGTCACAGTCTTGCTCTGTCACCCAGGCTAGAGTGCAGTGGTGCACTCAGCTCACTCTGCCTCCCAGGTTCAAATGATTTTAATGTCTCAGCCTTCTGAGTAGCTGGAATTACAGGCCATGTGCCACCACTCCTGGCTAATTTTTTTCGTATTTTTAGTAGAGACAAAGTGTCACCATGTTCACCGGGCTGGTCTCTTCTTGGCTTCAAGTGATCCGCCTGCCTTGGCTTCTCAAAGTGCTGGGATGACAGGTGTGAGCCACCACGCCCAGACCAACAGATGTTTTAAGTACAAATTTGAAAAGAGCGAACATTATTTCCAATGTTCAAAGGTAGATTAAATCTGTGATTTTGTTGTTAACAACAATGAAAGACTAAAGGACCAGCATCCTCTCACCATTCAATAAGTATTAATAGCTACTATTGGAAGTCCCATATCAAAGAATTAACTGGAAAATGCTGATAAAAATCCTAACACGGAGCCGGGCACGGTGGCTCAAGCCTGTCATCCCAGCACCTTAGGAGGCTGAGGCGAGTGGATCATGAGATCAAGAGATCGAGACCATCCTGGTCAACATGGTGAAACCCCGTCTCTACTAAAAATACAGAAAATTAGCTGGGCATGGTGGCGCATGCCTGTAATCTCAGCTACTCAGGAGGCTGAGGCAAGAGAATTGCCTGAACCCAGGAGGCGGAGGTTGCGGTGAGGTGACATTGCACCATTGCACTCCAGCCTTGGGAACAAGAGCGAAACTCTGTCTAAAAAAAAAAAAAAAAAAATCCTAACGCAAGGAATTAACGACTTGGTTATCTAATTTTATTTCCTTAAAACTGCTTGAAAGGCCGGGCGCGGTGGCTCAAGCCTGTAATCCCAGCACTTTGGGAGGCTGAGGCGGGTGGATCACGAGGTCAAGAGATCGAGACCATCCTGGTCAACATGGTGAAACCCCGTCTCTACTAAAGATACAAAAAATTAGCTGGGCATGGTGGCGCATGGCTGTAATCTCAGCTACTCAGGAGGCTGAGGCAGGAGAATTGCCTGAACCCAGGAGGCGGAGGTTGCGGTGAGCCGAGATCGTGCCATTGCACTCCAGCCTGGGTAACAAAAGCGAAACTCCGTCTCAAAAAAAAAAACTGCTTGAAAGCAAAGACTTCCTAACATTACTCTCGATCTGAAAGTTCAGGTACTCACCAACCAGCTCTTAATCTCTCATCTCTTTTGGGGGGTATTTCAGAGATACCCTCCTTGTTAGCCATACTTCATCAAATGTCACCAATGTGCATTTTCAGCATTAAAAATAACATAATTGGCTGGGTCGGGTGGCTCATACCTGTAATCCCAGCACTCTGAGAGGCCAAAGTAGGAGGATGGCTTGAGCCCAGGAGTTCAAGACCAGCCTGAGCAACATGGCAAAACATCATCTCTACCAAAAAAATACAAAATTTAGCCAGGGGTGGTGGCACACTTTTGTAGTCCCAGCTACTTGGGAGGCTGAGATGAACCCAGTAAGTCAAGGTTGGGTAAGACCATCTCAAAAATAAATAAATAGGCCCGGTGTGGTAGATCAAGCCTGTAATCCAAGTACTTTGGAGGCCGAGGTGGGTGGATCACCTGAGGTCGGGAGTTCAAGACCAGCCTGACCAACATGGTGAAACCCCATCTTTAAAAATAAATAAATAAATAACATAATTTTATTTTCCAAACAAAACACTGTGGGCAACTCAACTTGTACTCAGTCCCAAGAAGTTAATTCAAAGTGGAGTTTCGCCAGGCGCGGTGGTACATGTCTGCAGTCCCAGCTACTCGGGAGGCTGAGATGGGAGGATTGCTTGAGCCCAGGAGTTCTGGGCTGTAGTGTGCTACGCCAGTCAGGTGTTCGCACTAAGTTCGGCATCAATATGGTGACCTCCCGGGAGCGGGGGACCACCGGTTGCCTAAGGAGGGGTGAACCAGCCTAGGTCGGATATGGAGCAGGTCAAAGCTCCCGTGCTGATCAGTAGTGGGATCGCACCTGTGAATAGCCACTGCACTCCAGCCTGGGCAACATAGCAAGACCCCATCTCTTAAAAAAAAAAAAAAAAAAGCTAAGGTTTGTTTTCTGCAGTTTTCTTTAACTCCTGACCTCAAGCTGATCTGCCTGCCTCGACCTCCCAAAGTGCCTGGATTACAGGCGTAAGCCACCACACCAGGTCAGCCTTTTCTGCAGCCTTCTGACTTACACTCCTATGTTTTTTTTTTTGCGATGGAGTCTTGCTGTCGCCAGGCTGGAGTGCAGTGGCACCATCTCGGCTCACTGCAACTTCCGCCTCCTGGGTTCAAGCGATTCTTCCGCCTCAGCCTCCCAAGTAGCTGAGATCACAGGCGTGCACTACCACGCCTGGCTACTTTTTTTTTTTTTTCTGTATTTTTAATAGAGACGGGATTTCACCATGTTGGCCAGGATGGTCTCGATCTCTTGACCTGGTGATCTGCCCGCCTCAGCCTCCCAAACTGCTGGGATTACAGGCATAAGCCACCGCACCCGACCCACTCCTATGTCTTAAATACACTAGAAAAAGATACATGTGGCATGCTGGTGAGCCTGCAGAATGAGGCTACAAAACCCTCCAAAAAAAGGCAGCCTAATAAAAGTACAGCTTTCCAAACACATCAAAGAGTAGTGAGAGTCAAGCTCCAGGAAACTGAAATTGCACTCATTAGCCATTCTGAATACTGACTACATTTTTGACACAGCAATGAAAAAAAAAATGCTCACTATGTCAGATACTTTTGTCCTGTTCTTCCATCATAATCTTTTTTTTTGAAACAGGGTCTCACTCTGTCACTAAGGCTGAAAAGCAGTGATGAAATCACAGCTCACTGCAGCCTCAACCTCCTGGGCTCAGCCAATCCTCCCATCTCTGTTTCCTGAGGAGTTGGGATCACAGTGCACACCACCTGGCTAATTTTTTTTTTTTTAAGACAGAGTTTCTCTCTTGTGGCCCAGGCTGGATGGAGTGCAATGGCTTGATCTCAGCTCACTGCAACTTCTACCTCCCAAATTCAAGTGATTCTCCTGTGTCAGCCTCCCAGGTAGCTGGGATTACAGGCATGCGTCACCACACCCGGCTGATTTCGTATTTTTAGCAGAGACGAGGTTTTACCATGTTGGCCAGGATAAATTTTTTTATTTTTATTTTTTTAAGATATGAGGCCTCGTCCGGGCGCAGTGGCTCACGCCTACAATCCCAGCACTTTGGGAGGCTGAGGCAGTGGATCACTAGGTCAAGAGATCGAGACCATCCTGGTCAACATGGTGAAACCCCATCTCTACAAAAAAAAAAAAAAAAAAAAAAAAAAAAAAAAGATATGAGGCCTCTCTGTTGCCTAGGCTCATCTCCAACTCCTGGGCTCAAGTGATCCTCCTCAGTCTCCCAAAGTGCTAGGACTACAGGTGTCAGCCTGGGTCTGAATCTTGGTATCATGAATTTCTACAGCTAAATGAAACTGCAGCAATCATCTTGTCTAATGTGTTCATTTTACAGAGGAGGCATGTGAAAACAAGAGATATGACTTGCACGAGGTCAAACAGCTAGTTAGAGCCATAGTAATGATGAAAATCTGGATTTTGTGACTCTCAATTCTAAGATTTTTTTCCCCTCTATTCGTTGAAAAGCTATACTAGCTGGGCACAGTGGCTCATGCCTATAGTCCCAGAACTTTGGGAAGCCAAGGCAGGAGGACTGCTTGAGTCCAGGAGTTCGAGACCAGCCTGGGCAACCAGGCTGAGTGCAGTGGCACACAACATAAACTCTATCTCTACAAAAACAATTTAAAAATTGGGCTAGTCACAGTGGCTCATGCCTATAATTCCACCACTTTGGGAGGCCAAGGTGGGAAGATAGCTTGAGCCCAGGAGTTCGAGACAAGCCTGGGCAACACAGCAAAATAAAAAATACAAAAAGTTAGCCAGGTGTGGTGGCATCAAGGCTGCAGTGAGCTGTGATTGCGCCACTGCACTCCAGCCTAGGTGACAGAATGAGATCCTTTCTCAAGAAAGAAAAGGAGAGAGAGAGAGAAAGAAGCGGGGGGAAGGGAGGAGAAAAAGAGAGAAAGAAAAAGGGAGAAAGAGAAAGAGGGGAAGGAAGGAAGGGAGGGAGGTGGAAGGAAAGAAGGAAGAAAGGAAGGAAAAAAGAAAGGAAAGGAAAAGAAGGAAGGAAAACACAAAATTAGGTGGGTGTGGTAGTGCCTGCCTGCACTCACAACTACTGGGGAGGCTGAGGTAGGAGGATTGCTTGAGCTCAGGAGGTTGAGCCTGCAGCAAGCTGTGATTGTGACTGTGCCACTATGCTGCAGCCTGGTGACAGAGCAAGGCCCTGTCTGAAAAAAAAAGAAAAAAGCTATACTAGTAAAACAAAACAACACTCTTAGAGAGTATCTTAACTGTAACAAAGTCACAAAAAGTGTTACAACTGAAGTACCCGCCAAATCAACATTTGTTGAAAGAAGTAACATTTGTTCACATAGTGCAGGGGTTACTTAAAGCACATATTTTCTAAAGTATTTTATTAATTACCACCTGCTAGAATTTATGTCCTGCGTTTCCATCAAATGTACCTCCTGAAAAGCAGGCCACAATGACACTCATGGCAAAGGTAAGAAAAGTGATACTTCTGGTATAGATAACTGATGGTACAAAAGGAATCCACAAATGTGATGCCAACAATCAAGAAGAAAGGACTGAAGAAGGGGCAAGTAATCCTGAAAATGCAATCAGAAAAAAACCCCAAAGAAGTTGGCCAGACACTAATGACCATAGAACACAATAAAAAGAAGGCAGTTTCAGAGCTTGTCTGGCATCAGACAGCTCTCACCTGCAAAAAGAAAGAAGGAAAAAATTTCTCACAGACAAGAGAAAAATCCTAGGTTTGCCCCTGAGTGATGGACTAGATATGACCTAATAGGTATTTGCCATCTCTTATGTCTGGGACTCTGATCCAAGAACAAACAGCAAGAGAACCATGAAAAATTAGCCCTGTTGGATCTGGAGTTCTGCCTTGACAAGATATAATGCTCATTCATAGATCTGACTGTGCTCATGAGACTGCAGTTCAACTCCTGCTGCTAGAGCAAGAGGAGGGGGGAAAAAAGATAGAAAAGGGGTGAGAGGGAAGGAGGTGGAGTTCTGGGTTGTGACTATAATAGCTACAGTAATTAGAGTGTTTCCAAGCTGCTAGAGAAGTCTTCAGGGTAGAGAAGTGGGATAAGAGATGGGGGCGGGGGAAAGGTAAAAGGAATCAAACTACTGAGAGTGCTAGGAAAAAATAAGTGGTTAGTGAACAGTTTTAATAAAACAAACACAAAAACTGCCATAGCTTCATATGAGGAAATCAGGAACTTGACAGTCTTTCCTAGAAGTGAATACTAAACAATTAACTGCTGTCGCTAGGCTTCCACTTAAAGCTAGGTTACAAACTAGGTTTAGGTAGATTACTGCAAATGTCTCCAGCTATGCAATGGTCCATGGGCCCTGACCTGAGTCGTAGTTTGGCCTCAATTTCCAAAGAGCCTTCACTCCACTTGGGCTGTGGGAAAGAGATTTCTGAACTTTCAAACAGTTCATAAGGCTCATTTCTCTTCAATCATCCATTAATTAGTACCCTGTGAATTCCATTAGGTCGTGTGTGTGTGAGTTGCAAGAGAAGGAGCACACAACCTGTTGGCCTAATACAAAAAATGAATGGAAGACACTAAAAAGGTCAGAAAATAAACACAAGGATACTTGCTTATAAATTTTAGGCTCTTTGGCTTTGCCTATTATGGTGGCACGAACATATGAAAGAGAAAATCATATTAATAAATAGAGATGATAATCTATTTAAAAATCTTATTTTTCAGAAAACCTCCAAGTCTTTTCCCAAGTTATAGAAAATGCTATCCCCCACACCCTTTTTATTTTTTTGAGACAGAGTTTTGCTCTTGTTGCCCAGGCTGGAGTGCAATGGCTCAATCTCAACTCACTGCAACCTCCACCTCCCAGATTCAAGCAATTCTCCAGCTTCAGCCTCTCAAGTAGCTGGGATTATAGGTGTACACCACAGTGCCCAGATCATTTTTGTATTATTAGTAGAGACCGGGTTTTACCTGTTGGCCAGACTGGTCTCAAACTCCTGAACTTAGGTAATCTGCCCACCTTGGCCTCCCACAGTGCTGGGATTACAGGTGTAAGCCATTGCGCCCAGGCTGTACCTGTTTTTCAGATAAATATTTAGTGGAGATGTTCCTTAATATCATTTGGTCTTCTGGTGATGACATGGTTCTAACAAGCGATGTTAATGTCAGTATCAGGGAAAGAGTTACAAAGGTGCTGGGAGAAACTAAAAATTGAAAGAAAAAAAAAACCGAAGAGATGCAAACTTCATGTGGGGAAATATATTCATAATATAAAAACATGCAAATGTCTTGAATAAGGCATGTCAGGTAGACACAAAAGTTACACATTTGCATAAAACCTGTTAGGTATCCCCCCAGTAGGCTAAATCTTTTCCACCACACAGAAAGCAAAGAATTTTCTCCTTCCAATTTTCCTTTAATAAACAAGTACTAGAACCAGGTGCGGTGGCTCACGCCTGTAATCCAAGCACTTTGGGAGGCCGAGGTGGGTGGATCACCTGAGGTCAGGAATTCAAGACCCGCCTGGCCATCATGGAGAAACCCCATCTTTAAAAAATAAAATAAAATAAACAAGTACTAGAAACACTGAATTACCACTATTTCCCTCCCATTCACAGAGTATAAAGCCAGAACTCCCATAAATACAACTGAGTGGTGCAGGGCCATGTCTAGGGTATGCTATTCAGTAATCTTAAAAAAAAAAAAAAAAATACAGAAGAATCTCTTTTCTCCATTCTATCACCATCTTACTAACAAATCAACAAGAATCTAGAAACGTGAAACAAACTGCAATTTCACTCATACAAACTGAACCTAAACCACACAAGACCAAGTATTTTCTTGTCATTGTGGCATGTGATTCTTCAACCACCTGCTCAGTAATCCCTCTTCAGCTGCACAGCTGCTGCCAATTCCACATGCCCAGCTAGGCAGGTGCTTCAAGTGAATTACCTGTTCCCTAGTGAAAAGAGTCCTTCACTGACACTTAGTGGACCCAGAACCTGCCAATCAACATCACCTATCTCCATTTTGTCTGTCACAGACAAAAGGGAGGTATCATGAAGGCATATATAATACACTATGAGATTTTGCATTTTGTGGGTTTTTGTTTTTTAAAGGAAATTTATTTTGAAAAATCAAGAGAAAGAGAGAATTAAGTGGCTGAAAATTTCCCACACAATATAAGGCTGCCTTATCTCAGACTAGTCCCATCTGCCTGGCAGTATTCCCACCATGACCAGTTCTACATGAGGGAAATAACAATTGCTTAGCTACCTTCGGAGTAGGAGAAAAGGGCAGTACAAGTACTAAGATACCCGGGAAAGTAGTAACTAGAAAGAGAAAGCAGAGTGGGAACTTCTTTGCTATACTTAGGCTCCATGGCTAAGCTCAGGCAAGTGTTCTGAGTCAAATAAATAAGGAGTGGCACTTCCACTTGACAGAGCAATCAGTAAACCCCTCAACAAATTATCCTGTTCCAGTCATTTAGTTGCTATATGCTAATTGCTACATAATTGCTACCAGGAGCCAAAATTATGCTTCCATATCCTCACAAAATAAGCACTAATCTGTCCAACTTTCTAGACCTCTATCACAAGGAAATTTGTTTTTCTACCAAGAAGGTGGGAGGGGTGGGGGAATCCAAAGCACTCTTTGAATGATGGTCACAATCAGAAGACTCACATGAGATTCCATGTGGCAAGAGCCCAACTCTGAAGCCACTAAATCTAATCAGAACAAATTTAATCTGCGGCTTCTCCCTTCACTGTCACCTGACAGCATTCAGATATAATAAACGCCAAAAGCCCAAGAGCAAAAACCTCTGGACTCAGTTTAGCTGAGGCTTCACTCAAATAAACCCAGGACATAGAGTTGGAAACAGTCTAAAGACAGACAACACCTCCAGTAAGGCCTCGAGACAGTTCTGTCATCAAAAAAATATAAAGGTCAGAACAACCTGTTCTCTCCTATCAAAAGCCCAACACCTAAGTGGCAGGCCATCATTTAAAGAAACTCACTGAAATAAGGGGATAAGGGAGGCACCACAGACTCACTGCCTCAGAAAGACCTTTACCAAAACCAAAGGCTAACGTTCTTATTCAACAATATCCTATGGGAAATAGTTGGCTATTAGGTATGCAGTAGATTACATACAATTTCCCATTCACAATGAGTTTTACCTCTAATCCCTTTTTAAAGAAAATATTTTTTTTGTTTCTTTTTTAAATTGAGATGAGGTTTCACCATGTTGGTCAGACTGGTCTCGAACTGTTGACCTCAGGTAATCCACCCGCCTCGGCCTCCCAAAGTGCTGGGATTACAGGCGTGAGCCACCAAGCCCGGCCTAAAGAAAAGTTGTATTTAATGTCCTAAATGGAAAACTCTTTTCTAGCCCCAAATAATTTTTTTTTTTTTTTTTTTTGAGACAAGGTCCTGCTCTATCACCCAGGCTGGAGTACAGCGGTGAAATTACAGCTCACTGAAGCCTCAACCACCTGAACTCAATTAGATCTTTCCACCTCGGCCTTCCAAGTAGCTGGGACCACAGGCAAATGCCACCACACCCGGCTAATATTTTTATGTTTTTTGTTGAGATGGGGTTTTGCCATGTTGCCCAAGCTGGTCTCTAACTCCTGGACTCAAGTGATCCTCCTGCCTCAGTCTCCTGAGTAGCTGGGACCACTGGCATGAGCCACTATACCCAGCTAACTTCATTTTTTAAAATTTTTGTAGCGATAAGTTCTCACTATGTTGCCCAGGCCATTCTCAAATTCCTAGGCTCAAGTGATCCTCCTGTCTCGGCTTCCCGAAATGCTGGGATTACAGGTGTGAGTATCATGCCTGATCCCAAATAACTTTTTACACAACTAATAGTACCTAAATATTATTTGGGCACTTCTATCAGATATGTACAATAGGACTCCTTCTAGTTTGTTCTCATCTTTCTCTCATTAATAATCCCTAAAACCTATACGATTTTTCAAAAATGTTTATTTCTTTGGCAAATTTCTTCCTAATACAGAGGCAAATACAGAATTTTGCACAATGAGCAACTCATCTCCTTTCATTAAAGTAAAAATAAATATTAAAAGGTTTGTTCCCACAGCCCTTGCCCAGATAGGCAAATTCTGTGGCTTTTTTGTTGTGCTATTATTATTGACCAGGAAGTAAGCATTAAAAAGGTACTTGCTTCTCGACTTTTTCTTTTTTCTTTTTTCAAGAAACAGGTCTTGCTTTGTTGCCCAGGCTGGTCTCAAACTCCTAAGCTCAAGTCATCCTCTTGCTTCATTCTCCCAAAGTGCTGAGATTACAAGCATAAGCCACCACACCTGGCCTTGACTCCCTATCTTAACCCTGCACAGGTTTTCAGTGGTATTCCTAAACCAACAAAATTCACTGCATGTGTGTTCAATTTACATAAAAGAATTAAATACGATGATTCAAGTAAGAGCAGAACCTTCCCTTGGAGTCTTCTTCCTTAAGAGTCTGAAACAAACATCATAGTTGAGTCTACCAGACACTATTCCTTCACAACTTAGTACAGGCTAGCCAAAGAGGCAGGCACAACATGGCTGGCATCCCCTATTCTTCTGAAAAATGTGTGCCAATGAGCTCTGCATTGTTCCTCACTCAAAAAGAAGAGCCTTTCTGTCTGGCCTCCTCCAATGGCAAGCCCCAGTCTGGAAAAGGAAGAAAATGGCACTGAGGAGCCTGGGAGATGGAGCATATCCAAAGCTCTCAGACAAGACTTGAACCTATGACCTTCACTGTGTACACAATAGGCGGGTGAGAGGGACCGGTTTATCTCTGCTGCAGCAGTTCTCAGCCTTGGGGTAGCACTCCCGATAAAATGACACGACTATTGTGTGTGGCAGCAGAACAGTCATCTCCTCACAACAGCCTAAACCAGCACTCCCTCCCCCAAGACAAAGCAGCAGGGGTGAAATTAACTCAAGGCTGCAGAGCAAAGCCTAATACAGAAAAGGGAGGCCTGTAGGGGCTTGGAGACTCTCCTCAACCCCTGGGGCTCAGGACACATGGCTGGAAACAGACAGGCTTTCTTCCCCATCTTTCCCACTCTCATTTAGGTAGGGAGCTCTTTCTTAAGAGAATTTAATCATCTGTGATTTGTTCAGAAATATTCCCCCGAAGGGCTCTGATCTCTCCACCCTGTGTGAGCCTAATTCCTAGAAGCTGAAATGACTGTTTGCTGCTGCCTGTTTCACAAACACACATTAATTGGTCAGATGTGTCTCCTCCTCCCCAACCCCAAAGGGAGGAAGGAGAATCTGAGCAAAGCACAGAGATGATCCAACCGTAATTACACATAAAGGGAAAAGAGGGCAGCATGGGTTTTCCAAACAGGATAGGGTCACAAACCCTCCCGGGGGTACAAGGATAGCAGTTAAGGTCCAGGCCCAGGGATCCCTCCATCTTGAAGAAAAGGACAGGGGTAAATGTGACCTGAAGACTGTTAGGGGCACACACCCACAACCTACTTACTGCAGGATCCCAGCCACCTTGCTCCCCTTTCCCGGGTCACGCACACGTCCGGCTTCCAACCCTTTGCTCTGAACCCGCCACCCCTTCCAACTCCCTGACTGGCCCCAGTCGCCCTGAGCGCCCTCAACGTACCCAGACTCGCCTCAGAAACTCTCTGGCCTGCTCCCACAACCTAGCCAGACCCTAATCCCCTCCCGGGCACCCCTACCCTCAGCCTGAACCGGCCCTGGCCACGCTTTGAACTTCACCCCGCGCCCCTCGACGCCCCCTCCCCCACCCACGCAACGACCCCCCCACACACACCTTCCCCTCGCTCCGCCCCAGCCCCCCCAACCCCCACTTCCTCCGTCAGGCAGCGCCGCCGCCCCCGGCCCCCATCAGCTCCCTCAGCCTCGCGCCCCATCGGTGCCGCCGCCTCTTTCCTCCCCTAGTCCCGGCTCCACACAAAGCTCCGGACTCACCGCGCGGCCGGTCCCGGGAGCCGCCACCTCCGCCCGCCCGGGGCCCCGGGCCGTAAAGCCGCCGCTGCTACCGGGCCCAGGCCGCCATCCGTTCCCACGGCCCCTCCCCCCCACCCCGCCCCGGCTCGGCTCTCCGCCCCCTCCCCGCGCCGCTCCGCCCCGCCCGGCCGGTGCCGCTGTGTCCGGGGCCGCGGGTCCCTCAGCCGCCGCCGCCACCGCCGCCGCCGCCGCCGCCGCGATCCGGGACAACCAGAGTCACCTGGAAGACCCGGACATTAGACTACCAGGCCCTCGGATCCGGATTCCGCGCTGGTGTGGAGTCTGGAGCGGGTGAGCGCCGGGGAAACCCGGAACCTGGATGAAGGAGAGAAATCCTGGGTCTCGGAACGCGCGCTCTCCCGGAGCCCAGATTAGAGAGTCGTAGCTCGAGGAATACTGGAAATCCCGGCAAGCCGGTTAAAACCAAGATAAACTCGAGGAAACCTGGATTGGAGAGCTCGAACCTAACGCTGTCCCCTCATGGGCAATAGAACTCTCGCTGGATCAAACTTCCTCACAGAGAGGTCTCTGGGGGATATTGGACCTTTTAATATAGAAAACATCTCTTCTGTAGTTGTCCTTCAACCATAGAGAGGAAGGGGCCGTACGGGGTCTGAACATGGACATCCACAAAGAACAGAAGAGCCATCACAGCTCCTGATGGTTTCATCCATTTTACCCCTTAGTTCAGCAAAGTACCAACCTCCTAATTTTTTATCCTGTGTTCTCCAGCCTTTTCTTTTAGGATTACCACTTGCTTTTCTCCCCAAAGCACCCATTTCTAAACCCTCTACATATCCCTTTTCCCCTCACCATCCAAATCACTAAATCTTGTTGCCTTTTATTATCTAAAAGTGTTATTCTGTCCTTCTCCAACCCACCATTCTAAGGATTGTCTGTCGCTTTTATCTTTCCTCATCTGCCGTTCATCTCTGATTGCCCAGCACACTCTCCAGGGTACAGTAGGCATTCAGTCCATGTTTAGGTGAACTCTCCTACCCACCTCTCACTTGTGAAACATCTGTTCATGACGACCTCCTAAGACTTCCACCTCATTCCATAGTAAACAAATTTACCTTAATTCTCAAGGCCTCCCACATCTTAGCCCCTATTATGTCCTTCTTCTGTCCTTGACCATTTTATTTGGCTTTGCATTTATCTTACTTTTTTTCCCTTATCCTGAGGCCTCCTTCAACAGTACCACTCAAGATAGCATGTGACTTGGAGATAAGTGAGGTCATAAAATCCCTTTACTCCTCATTTCCATTCCACTAAAAAAAAAAGGAGGGGGAGGGGTTAATAGCTAAAGATAAAAACTAAGCCTGTCTGTCCAGGAACAATAATCTCTCTTTGGTCCACCAGTAGTCACATTGTTAGACAGTACAGGGGCAGAACTGATCCCAGGTGACAGCGAACTTCCAATATATACTAGACAAAGTTACAAGTGAGGATTCAGCTACTTAGTAGGTGGAGGCAGAAAAGAGTTTAGTGTTTTAGATTTAGGGGTGATTTAATTAAAGATTAAACATTCCAGTTGTCATCTCCCACTGAAGGAGCATGACTGCCACTGGAGAGAACTAGACTGCAAAAATAGGGAACAAAGGAAGGTAAACATCCTGCAGTGAACCCCAAGTTTTAGCCAGAGAAAGTTCTCAAGCCTGGAAGAACCACTAAAAATGTTCAAGTGCTCAGATGTCCTATGCAGTAAACAAATCTTAAGTTTTGACCCACTGTTCTTCTAGACCAAGGGTTGGCAAACTGCATTTCACAGGTCAAATCAGGCTCACCACCTATTTTAGTATGTACCATGAGCAAAAATGATTTTTACATTTTTAAACAGTTAATCAAAAGACTATTTCATGATGTGAAAATGATTTGAAATTCAAATTTCAGTGTCTGAAAATAGTTTTATTGACACTAGCCAAGCTCATTCATTTACATTATCATCTATAGATCCATTTTGACTACAACAGCAGAGTTGAACAGTTGAAACAAGGACTGACTGCATGGCCTGTGTAAAGCCTAAAATATTTGCTAACTGGCACTTTACAGAAAAAGTTTGCCAACCCCTGCTCCAGACAAACACTATCCAATATAACTTTTTGCAGCAATGGAAATGTTCTATATCTGTGCTATCTAATGCAGAAGTTGCTAGCCATGTGTAGCTATTTGAGCACTTGAAATATGGTCAACAATGACTGAATAACTGAATCCTTAATTTCACAGCCTAACCATGAAAAGAAATTTCCATGTTATTCTGCCATTTACTAATGAGGCTCCGGTTGCGTATTTTGGATGCTGAGGTGGGTTCTTGTAAACTTGTAAAGTTCTTGTAAACTGTCTTATCTGAGCACACAAAATGGTTGCATAACCTGATCTGTTGCAGCTCCTGATGTTTTTCTTTCGACATACACACAGTCCATCCAGGTGAAAAAAATCAATCCAGACACCTCTATGCTCAGGCTGTTGTTCAAATAAACCTCTTCCCCCCTCCCTAGGCTCTTCGCCTCCTGCCTTCTAGTTTTATTTTGGTATTAAGAGAGGCAGGCGACTCCACAGAATTCAAGGTGCTACTCCTTGGTAAACTATTGGCTGCATAGTGAACTCAGTATGGCTTCATTAATAGTAGGGTCTGCAGGAGGTCAGAAAGAGACTATCCCCACCCTCCCCCACCACCACCTGAAGAGGTGGACATTAGCAGTCTTTTCCCCTTTCTCCAGAGGTTGAACAGAAAAAGAATACTACATGTTTGCATCACCGGAACAAGAACTGGCTGGGTTTTCCCTGGGAATCCAGAGTGATCAGGCCCTGCAAAACCAATGCCTAGAGCTATGCAACAAGCAGGGTTCACAGTTGAGTGAACATCAATGCATAATGAGTGGAGGCATTTCAATGCAAATAAACGCTGAATATGAAGGATTAAAGAAAGGGGAAATTAATCTTTTTCATAACACAGGGCACATTTTTTTCTCTCCCTTGCTCTCTCTTTTTTAAGTCATACACACAACTGCTGGAGGGAGTCCAACTTCCCCAGTGTGGTAGTGTTGCTTTAGAAAAAGCAGAACATACACATTTACGACCATGAATTTCCTCAGGATGCCAGCAACTGAGATTCTGACAGCTCTTCAGATCAGCCTCAGAAACAAACTGTTTCACTAAGTACGGTCAGACTGACAAGCAAAAACCTCATTTCAAACCAACCTCTTCGTTTTCCAAAGCACAGAGCTTTCTGGGATGTGAATGGTTTAAAAGGTTTGATTTCAGCATTTGGAGGGTATTTGGATGCATTTACTGAGGCGATTTTATTTTTCAGTTTGTTTCTAATTGCCCCATCCAAGTGATGCTTTTGCAATACCAACAAAATAAAATAGGGCAGCTTCATGCTGCTTTAGCAGGTGGCTCCATCTCCTCCCAGTCTGAAGTATTCATATCCTGGCTTCTCAAACCCAAGAACAAAGTGGAAGCAGTTCTTCAGGTTATTCCTTCCAAAAAAAAAAAATTTTTTTTTTTTTGCCAATGAGGGTTACTCAGCTTTTCACATTTCACTCAGACAGTTCCCTTCAAGAGACACTGGATTGGAGCAGAAAACTTTTACAAACCTTTTTGTCCCATCACAGGTTTGTATTAAGCACAGGATTCCTCAAGTATCTTATTACTCTACTGGATTATCCCTTTGATAAGAAACTTTAAAATCTGAGAGGATCCCTCAAAAAAAATCATTAACCTAGGTTAAAAACTTTCTAACTGCAAATACAAGTCTCAGAAAGGAAAGAAATTTCTACCTTGTTCCTATCTCTTTTGATACTATTCTGAGAAAAATGTCAAAAGACTTAGAATTTTTAAAATAAGCTTTTATAAATAATGTATTCAAAGATTTTGACCCATTACATAAAGTAGGAATCCCACTCCTTAAGAAAAATACACAGATTTTGGCAGGAGTTAAAGTTTGAGATATTCAAGCCTGATGCCAATCCTTTAGGTTTCTACTACTTCAATTCCAAAGGACCAGTTGATAGCAATTTTAGTACACAAAACTCCACTACACTGTGTAGTTCCTTTTCTCCTGGGTCAGACAGCTTTATTCTGCTTCATTAACCCCTTCTTTGCTCCTTGATGGATCTTGGAATCCAGTTTCCCTGTAAGGGAGAAAAAGAAGTCTCATTATTTATTTTTGTATTTGCAATGCAAATCTTTCGTAGCCTCCCAGGTCTTCTGGTTACTGTGTTCCTGTCACATTCAATTATCTTACTTCAGGACTCAGACACTTCCAAACTTCAGAGTTTCATTCTATAAGAATAAGGAAGCAGTGGGAACACAGTACAGGGATACCCACATACATACAGTGAGTCCTAAGAATCAAAGAAGTTCATTATTTCTAGTTTTGTAGCTACCGAAAAGAAATACCACATTTTTAAGGGTGTTTGATGCTAAAGCAAATTTTTAAGAATATACACATGCGATCAAGGCAGGCATTTCACACAGTGGGAAACCCATTCCTCTGACCTGTTAACTGGCTAAGCATAATGCATGAACCTCCTTCACAGTGAGAAAAGCAGTTCAACACCCCTTTGCTGCCTCAGACTTAACAGGGGGAGTGACCTGCAACAGTGGAATAGAATCCACACGAATGCTTTACTGACAAAGGGCCCCTATCACCAGCTAAGAAGGGTAAAGGTCATAGGCTCTATGACTCTCTAAGTGTTAAACTTAGAAAACAAGCAACCTTCCTATCCCAGGTGACCCTAATGAAACGTATATTACTGATGTGGTCTCTGACCTCTTCTCAGATCTACCAGGATAGAGTTTGGCTCAGTAGCAGTAGCCTTAGGAACCATCCATCTCATTAGGAGAATCTTAACAGAATTCCTGTCTGGCCTGAGAACAGCTTGGCAGTTTGTTTTCTCCCACAAAAAGTCTCATCTAAGTCAATAGTGATGCTTACAGTGAACACAGCAATGCAATTCAGTTCAGTCTCAGCACTAAAAAAATAAAAAACAACAACAACGAGTCTTCCCCTTCAAAGGCAGCTGAGTATACCACAGGCCCATGCCCACAACCACTACCTCTCATATGTTGTCATTTTCATTTGTTGCAGCAATCAGGCATAACAGAAAGAGCACCGGACTAAAAGAAGACCCAGGTTCTAGTCCACCCTTCTCTGGTATTAACTAGCTGCATGACCAGGACAGGTCATTCAATGTCTCTGGACAGTATTTTCACTTGTCCAATTAAGAATACATGTACTTACTGACTACTGCACAATAAGATTGTGAGAAAAATAGCCCCAACCAACAAGCTTCCCTATTTTTTTCAATCTCCTCCTGCCCAACATGATGTCTCTGTCTGTCTGTCTGTCTCTCTTTCAGGCTACACCTGCTTCTAGAAGAACATTACATCCTTTTCTGGGCTTCCTCAGAAACCATCACTAAGTGATACCCTGAATATCATTTCACAAAAATCACAGTGCTGTTGATTTTCATTTGGGCTTTAAAGCATAGGGCATTCCCAGGGATTTAGGAGTTCTTTTATCCCCTATGCTGCCTGGCTGAAAACCTGAACTTGTGCCAGCTCTCTGGCAAAGAGCCCTATTACAAGGCAAGTCAGCCTTTGTATCCCTAACACTACCATAGTGACTGCCAAATGGTAGGCGCTCAATAAATGCTCTCTCCAAATGAATTAAACAAAGGTAGACACTACAAATTTCAAAACCTTTATATTATAGACAGCACTAAGTAACGACAAATAGCAGATATCAAATGTATGTAAGAGTACAGATTGTAAAGGTGGTGGTACCCAGAGGAAAAAATACGAATTGAGTCTCTTTCGGCTTTTTAGGACAAGCTAGGACAGAATTTAGAATTCCATCTAAGACTCCAGACTTCCAGTTATCTGTACTGAATATGTTGAAAGACTCAGTTTTATTGATTGATTGAGACAGGGTCTTACTCTGTTGCCCAGGCTGGAGTGCAATGGCATGATCTTGGCTCACTGTAACCCCCACCACCCGGGTTCAAGGAATTCTGCTGCCTCAGCCTCCCCAGTAGCTGGGACTACAGTTGTGTGCCATCACGCTTGGCTAATTTTTTTGTTTTTTGGTAGAGATAGGGTTTCACAATGTTGGCCAGGCTGGTCTTGAACTCCTGTCCTCAAGCAATCCCCCCTGCCCTGCCTGCACTGCCCCGGCATCCCAAAGTGCTGGGATTACAGGCACGAGCCACCACACTGGCCAAAAAACTCATTTTTAATCCTGAGACTTCCTAGTTGTATAACCTTGAGTATATTACCAAGTCACTCTTATCCTCAATTTTATCAACTCTGAAAGGAAACTGGACTCTACAATACTGAAGCTTCATTTCAACTCTATGATATTGCGCTCTAGAAATGAAATGTAAATTGGAATAATTTATTCCTGAGGCAATCTGATATAGTGAAAAAAAAGAGGAAACCTTGAGCCAAAAAGACTTGAGTAAAACAACTTCTATAAACCTCCTTTCCGTAAAATGAAAGGAGGAAAAAGCCCTTACTACCTCACAGAGTTATTGAGAAGATTATAGCTAACACGAAGTACTTTCTATAGACCAGGCACTGAACTACATATATTACATGTACCCTAAGTCCTTTAATCAAATAACTACAGGTTCAGTATCCCTTATCCAAAATGCTTGGGACTGGAAGTGTTTTGAATTTTAGATTATTTTGGATTTTAGAATATTTGTGGTTTATATACTTAATGGTTAAGTATCCAGAGTCCAGAAATCCAAAATCCAAAATGCTCCAATGAGCATATCCTTTGAGCATTATGTTGAAGCTCAAAAAGGTTTAGATTTTGCATTTCAGATTTTCAGATTTGGGGTATGGCATGGTGGCTCATGCCTATAATCCCAGTACTTTGGGAGGCCGAGGCAGGCAGATTGCTTGAGCCCAGGAGTTCCAGACTAGATTGGCCAACATGGTGAAACCCTGTTTCTACAAAACAAACAAACAAACAAAAAAAACCCGAAATAAAAATTTGCTGGGTATGGTCGTACAAGCTTGTAGTCCCAGCTACTCGGGAGGCTGAGACAGGAGGATGGCTTGAGCCCAGGAGGTGGAGTTTGCAGTGAGCCAAGATCTTGTGCCATTGCACTCCAGCATGGGCAACAGAGTGAGATCCTATCTAAAAAGAATTTTTTTTGGCCTGGCGCGGTGGCTCACGCCTGTAATTCCAGCACTTTGGGAGGCCGAGGCAGGTGGATCACAAGGTCAAGAGATCGAGACCATCACGGTCAACATGGTGAAACCCTGTCTCCACTAAAAATACAAAAAACTAGCTGGGCATGGTGGTGCGTGCCTGTAATCCCAGCTACTCAGGAGGCTGAGGCAGGAGAATTGCCTGAACCCAGGAGGCGGAGGTTGCGGTGAGCCGAGATCGCGCCATGACACTCCAGCCTGGGTAACAAGAGTGAAACTGCGTGTAGAAAAAAAAAAAAAAAGAAATAGAATTTTTTTTTGGCTGAGAGTGGTGGCTCACACCTGTAATCCCTGCACCCTGGGAGGCCGAGGCAGGCAGATCACCTGAGGTCAGAAGTTCAAGACCAGCCTGGTCAAAATGGTGAAAACTCGTCTCTGCTAAAAATACAAAAATTAGCTGGGCATGGTGGTGCGTGCCTATAATCCCAGCTACTCAGGAGGCTGAGGCAGGAGAATTGCCTGAACCCAGGAGGCGGAGGTTGCGGTGAGCCGAGATCGTGCCATTGCACTCCAGCCTGGGTAACAAGAGCGAAACTCCGTCTCAAAAAAAAAAAAAATTTAATAAAAACAAAACAAAAAAAAATATTAGCCAAGTATGGTGGTGTATGCCTATAGTCCCAGCTACTTGGGAGGGTGAGGTGAGAGAATAGCTTGAGCCAGGGAGGCAGACGTTGCAGTGAGCTGAGTTCTTACCACTGCACTCCAGCCTGGGTTACAGAGTGAGACCTAGTCTCAAAAAAAAAAAAAAAAAAAAAATCCAAATTTGGGATGCTCAGCCTATAACTGAAATAATACATATTAAAGTGCTTCAAGTTGGACGTGGCTCATTCCTGTAATCCCAGCACTTTGGAAGGCCAAGGCAAGCAGATCACTTGAGGTCAGGAGTTCAAGATCGGCCTGGCCAACATGGCAAAACCCTGTCTCTATTAAAAATACAAAAGCTAGTTGGGCGTAGTGGCACTCGCTTGTAATCCCAGCTACTCAGGAGGCTGAGGCAGGAGAATCCCTTGAACCCAGGAGGTGGAGGTTCCAGGGAGCTGAGATCTCACCAGTGCACTCCAGTCTGGGCAACAGAGTAAGACTCCGTCTCGAAAAATAAAGG